TATCTGTATTTACATATAGATATTTAAACATCCTATTTATTTTTAGTTGCAATGAATTTAGGTAAATCCTTACTGCTGATGAGATTTAAAATTGTGGTTTGATGGTACTGGACACATCCACACCCTGTGCTGGTATCTGGTACCACTGTGTCTCTTTACGTATAATTTCTTCTTCCTGGTTCATTTGCTATGGGTACCAAAATCTGCCTTTTTACAAAGTGAACAAATGCCAGGTTGGACTGTGGTTTTGATCTTGTAATGTGATGAGTGTCATGGGCTCAGTTTAACAACATGTGAAAGTAATTTTAGTAGGTGCTATCTCCACTGAACTCCCTAAGATTATTAATCTGTTTAAATAAAGTGTAAAGGGTTTGCTCATGACTATCACTAGGGCTTTGCAGTAAGTTCACCCTTAAATTTATCTAGAATAAAACCCCAGGATTTCTGAAAACACTCTAGTTATTTTCTTATTTTCTTAAGCTTTAGTGGGAACAAGTTTTCATCTTTTTTATTTTTAGCTTGGTCTGTGCTGTCATTCAGGCATTCAGATTTAAAATGCTGTAGTGCACACTGCTTATGTGCCTCCAGAAGAAACACAGCACATGAGACGGTGTGTGAAATACATCTTTGTCACCATGTAATTCTGTGATCTCTGTGGCCTCCTTGTGCCATGGAGGGGCATGTGCAATAACCAGATGCCGTGGGATGAATTATGAACAGAATGATTCACTTTGGAGTGAAAATGTTCATCTGGTATCGCATATTTGCTAGTTAACCACTGTTTTTATTAGTACTCCGAAGTATAATTTCTGCCTATTTTTGATTAATCTATTTGACTGCAACAGCCTCTGGAGGAGGGGTTCCTGTAAAACACAAAGTAGTGACATGAAAATAGTGTCATCACGTACAATCCATTCTACAAAACGCAGGCACAGAATGTGCTCTGGAGACAAATTTCAAACTCACTTAAACTTTGTCTTAAAGCAAAAAGTTACTGTATTTTACAAGGTCGATCTAGGAGGTACATACAGAACACGGTTCTGGTCAGCTTAACTAGCCAAAATTGGAAGAACAGTGAGGTCAGTTTGAGACAGAGAGCTTTTGAACTGAATGGGAATCTAAACCCTCCTTTTCAATCAGATGACCACAGTTTCTCTGGTAGATGCTGCAGCATCTCCAGGACAGGAATAAAGTGGTATTTCCACCATAAGATGCTGTACTGTACATTTTGTCATGAAGTTCTAGTATTTGTTGTTTAGCTTTCAGTCCTCTATCAGGGAAAGACATTCTCCTGCAAGCCTAACTTGATCTATAATATATATGTAAACGATAGTGCTTCCTCTTTGTATGTGTGTTTCTGGATGTAATCAAAGGAACTGTGAAGTAGATTTATGAGTGTAAAGAAGCCTTATAACTGGAGTAGTTTTTTATTGTAGCACAGAACCTCTTTGTAATGTGGGGCAGTTGCACCAAAGCATTGAGTGAAAATGAAATTTCTCCACAGCTTTGTTTCATTGGAGTGATGACTGTCAGTGCAGCCAATCTTTTTTGCTGCCACACAAAGTTGGTGTTTCATTAAGATTTTTTTAGACTGTGTTGGTTTTCAAGTCAATTTATGCATGCAGAGATTACTGGGAAGTCATTATTTTTGTATCAGCTCTAATCTTTAAGTAAGTACTGATAATACAGGGAACAATAAAATTACTTCCAAGCTCTTATTGAGAGATCAGCAGTTTTTCTTTTGCAGCTTAATGTATTAATAAATTAGCAGAACTGCTTTTAAGCAATCTCTTGGGATCCCTTGTGCAAAGAAGCGGCATGTGAGCTCCTGAAATACATGAAACCATTGATGAAAGAACTTTTTTAAGTAGATGTGCTGCTGCTTTTTAGAAATGCAAAACTAGCAATCTGACATAGCATGTGTCCATCCTGTGTGCTTCTGACTGGCATTGTATGATGAGTCCTCATTTTTAATATTTGCAGTGGCAAATCAATTAAGCACTCATTAAATATAACCAACTTTTTTTTCAATGCTATAAAATAACCAATTCATTTCATCTTAGTTTAAGTCTTCTTTATTTTTCTTTTTTTCCTTTTTACTGCTGTCATTTTTTGTGCTTGTTTTTTTTCCCCAGTGAGGGTTGTCGCCGAGAAAATACAATGAAGAATGTTGGATGTCGCAAGTATGCATTTAATTCCCTGCAACTGAAGGCTTTCCCAAAGTATTACAGGCCTCCAGAAGGAACTTATGGAAAAGTTGAAACATAAGCATACTATGTCCTTTAATGGCTGTTCCATTCAAACTTGTGGATACTCTAGATTAATCCGTGATTTTGTCATCCAGAGGAGATAAATCACCTTTTTGTACGTTTCACTAGGTTATCCAGAGCATGTTACTTACAGAATTGGAATCTCTAGTAACAATTATTCTGACACCTTAGCTTGAGAATAGTGTGATAACGCTCTGCCCGTTTAAATAGCCTTCAGTGTATGTAAGACAACCAGATATTGTGCTATTTCCTAATTATCTATATGCAAATAGCTAGGTACCTCCTGGGTGGGCAAGGACTCTAGGAATGGCATTGGGCAGCTGTTTCATGTCACATCTTTTTATACGGAATTGAATTTGAGAATGAGCTTTTCATAAACTTTTTAAAACTGCGAGTAAAACTCAAAAGTTGTAAATAAAAAGGGATTGGATCCTAGACAGTCTAATAGCTGTAGAATGCATTGTTACAATCAAGAAAGAGAAGTTTAACTTAAAAAGAAAAAAATCAGAACAATAAAAGCCAGGAGTATAATTTGTTTACTGTATATAGGATGGTATCTTCATAAACAAGATTAACAGTACAGAAAAGGCCAGGCTTATGAAGTCTGGTTTTCAGTTCTGTCCAAATAAAACAAATTCCTGCTGCCTTTGGCAAGTAAGGACTTGGGCACACATCTGATGTTAAGAACTGTTTTGGAAACACGGTGATGCTTAATCATTAACACCAGCAACAGTTCCCTCTGTCCTTCCCCACGACAAAGCAAGTGCGACAAGCAGGTTGCTAATGTTGCCTGTGACATGTTGGGTCTCTCCCATGGTGTCATATAGTAATTAACACACTTTTACGCATGAATTTTTATGTCAGTTCTGGATTTTAAGTATCTGGGGCAGGGGGTGGTGGTAATTTTTTTTTATTGGTATTTGCTTTTTTTCTCTCATGTCAATTTTGTATGTCAGTACAAAAATGCTGAAAGTGCCCAATGCATCCCTGCTACTCCATAACCCAAACTGGTTTCTTTGCATTTTACCTGGGCAGGTGTTCAGAATCCAGGGAGGGGGAAGTATGACTGTTTTCAGGGCATTTCTGAGGAAGGTGGCAATGCCTCATGTTGGTAGAAAGGAACTGTTCATGTACTACCAGTACCGCGCTAGAACCGCAGGTGTGTTATAGCTTATGACAAGGTGATCAGTTTGATAAGTGATAAAATATATTCAACAGGTCTCCTCAGAAGTAATCTCCTAAAGAATGCCTTTGAAACTATGATACCTTTTTAAAAAGCAGCTAAACCTTAATTTCCAAATTTGAACAAGATTTTAACAGAATCCCTAACAGCCCTTGCTAGGTTCCTTCAGCACACTGTGCCCTGTTCTTCTTAGCTTCTAAGAATGTCAATTTTAGAATAGAAAAGTCTGCCCGTTTATACTTGTGGAAGTAGCAACAGCCAGGTAAGTATACGGCTGTTTTCTGGTTCCTTTCTCCCTCTCACTGATGTTTGTCTGTGCTGTCACTGCTCTCTCAGTCAGTCATGTTCATTCTGCTCCCATGCAGGTTTGGGGCTTACAGGTCCAGCAGTTTTTGCATTTTGCTTGTTGCAATAAAATGCTGAGCAGCATGTCAGAGAGCCAGGTCAGAGAGTGTTCTGCTGAGCGAGGATGTTACTGTTGGTTCTGTCTCTCTCAGATAACAAAACACTGAATTGTGTGCAAAACCTATGTATTGTACCTGTCCCAGGTGTGAGCAAATCACCTACAGTAGAACAGTCCCTTGTAATTTTACCAACCCTGTTCACCATAATAAATAAAGAAATGTTGGTTTGTATTTTTTTTGCTAATGAGGAAACAAATACATGGTGAGAAAACTTTTCAATGGGATCTCTTTGGACAATGTTGCTCTATTAGTTCTGCTCAACCTTCAGTCCCAGGCCCATTATTAAATGCTACATTTATTTTTGTATAAACTATACTCTTTGTATCCCTTAGTTTTTATGAGTTGATAATTTTATTTTGTATATTTCAAACATATTATATTCTAAGTCCTGTATTGTTACACTAAAAATATTGTGATGTTCAGCTTCAGAAGAGAAGAATAAGAGGTCTGTTGTAACAACAGAGCCACGCACACTGTGGCCAACAATCATTAGATCTGCTCTCAAGCTTAGTGAGATTCATTTTCTATACCAATGTAATCAGAAAAAGTGGCTGAATTTTGTATGTGCATGGTTTTTGCTCATCTTTTCAAAGTGGTGGAATACCAATCTCAAGTACGGCGTTATTTGTTTAAAATATCCTGATTTCAGTATGCTTACATGTAAAACATGGCTGTCCAGCTAACATTTTATATATACGCCAGTGTCAGTACATGCACGTCGATGGGCTTGTTTAAAGGGCACAATGAACAGTAAGATCTTGGGCAGTTCATCAAAAAAGGAAAACTGTGAAACTTGAAATCCACATAGGACGCTTCACAAGGGTGAATTAAGCTTTTCTGTTGCACAGGAGAGGCAAAATTAAGGATTACTGTAAAAATAAGTTCTGTCTAATGGTCTTTTTTGAGTACATTTTTTTAAATTATAAAACATACAAAGGTAAAAAAAAAAACTGTTGCCAAGTATGTTCTGTGTATGTTCTGTGAAAGTACCTACAGCACAGTTGCCTTTTGTTTCATTTATACATGTAAAATTATTGTATAATACAGCACTGTTTTGTCCCAAGACAACTGTATTTGCCAAGCTTTGTGCATTGAAATATTTTTATTTATTTGGTTTTGGGCAGTATTAATATATCATATGGCTACTGTTTTATATATTCTAGTTCATCCAATCCATGTATGCTGTAAATGTGCTAGTCTTTAGGATGAAAACCAATAAAAGAATTGACAAGAATAACAAATGATGGTGTTTGTGGTAAATGAAAAGAAACACTTGGGTTCCTTAACTTGGTAGCTTTATCTGTTGGAGAATACATTAAGCCAAGTTGTGCATGGATATATTTTACACAGACCTGTGAGTCAGGAAGCAGTTCCTTCTAATCCCCACAGAAGTACAGCTGCTATCAATTTTCTGTAGTTAAGCCAGGCACCGGTTTGTCCCACATGCCATACATTCAGCAGCAGTCAAAGAAAGAAACAGTCTGAAATTATTTTTGTTCTTAATCTTACATACCTTCTCTGTGAACCTATGAGACCTTCCTGAGCTTCCTTCTCTTTCACTCTTCCTTCCATTAACAGAATCCCTTCTCTGCTGATGCCTCCCCTTCAGCCAGCTCATCCCTCCAGCAGCTTCAGTGCTGCTTTTCAGCAGGGGTAGCTTGTCATTGTTGATTGTCATTTTTGTTTCAGGTTAAATTAAATTTTATATAATAGCATAACAGAGAATAATCCAGAGCATTCTGATTCCTGTAAAATATGAAGAATAGAACATAAGAACATAATTCTGCTGTCACTGGATATTTGACAGCTGCCAATTACACTTTTGTTTACATGAGAGAGGACTGAGGACCACAGGTGGGGCTCGGTGAATTAGTTTTCTTAGTTACACAGAAAGAAAAACCATACCAGAAAAAAAAAACAACCAACAAACCCGCACTGCTTTCATACAGAATGCAAAGGGGAAGATTCTTGACAGGTGGGAATCCCTAAATTGCAAATGCAAAATACATTTACATACATGTGTGCACATATACATATCTGTATTCCAAAAATTTTTAATTAAATGTAAAAAATGTACCTACCAGTGTTCATTTTAATATAAAAAGGTGAGGTGTTTCAAAGATGGTTAAAGTTTAACATCTTTAAAAGGCATTCCTAGCTACTGGAGAGATTCTCACTTTGAAGCTGACGTGGGTGCCTATGTAACGATTGCTCCATTCAAAACCCAAGGTGACTGTGGATCCGGGTTGCCTTAGAACTGTAGCTGTATGAGGGTTGTAAATGATGCTGTGGGGAGCTACAGAGAACAGTAATGACTGCATGCCTCCATGTGAAACCAGAACTCGTTCCATCTCTTTGCCATGACTTTTGCTATACAACAGCCTTCAGGCAGAACTTGAAGCTCTGGAACAGCCTTCTGCGTAACAGGCACAGACTACACTTCAGAAAGGCTTGCCTGATATCAGAAATGTAACATCTTAAAGCTTGAAATGTACTCTGACAAAAGAGAGGGGGATTTAATAGATGCTTGAGATAATAGAAAAACAAGAAGATGACAACAAAAAAAATAGTAAAGCTCTTGTTTAAATCAGAAAAGGAGTCCTCATCAGAAGAAACTGTAGGTAATTTTGGTGACCAAGAGTAAGCTTTTTCAGTGTTCTGTTTGTGAATTCCTAAAAATTTCTGAGACCCACCTCACACAGACCACCTGTGTCTACGCTGCTGCCAACCACATATGGGTTTGTTTAAAATAGCTCTCCCTAATGAATGACAAGACTTTCAGGCTATGAATGGGAAAGCTTAACAGCAACCTTTTTTCCTCACATCATTTTAAACGTCAGGCAAACCTTCTGCTCCCAGTGAATGAAATATTTTCCCTGTTGCAACTCCCTCCCTTTGGCGGCATGACAGTGACAGGTGGAGCTCAGCCGTGTTCAACGTGATCAATTGATGGCATGAAAACATAAGTTTATAAAAGCCTGGTAGCCCTGTCAAACTCCCCACTTTTTTGATTTTGGTGGGTTTTTTTATTATTTAAATTGTGCCAATATTAAGTTGTTTGTTATTTGCCAGTCTGGTCCTGTAATTTCTGATGTTTCCTGTATTCCATGCAGCCTTCAGCATCAAGAAGTTCTTATTTTTTGCAGTGGCTGTTGTATTTGTACCTATACCCCAAGTATTCTGCAATGTGAAGTTCTGCAAATGCGCATTTTACAGATTTTACAGCAAAAGGAACTCACAATGCATCCCCTATTGTAATTTATTGTGAAGTTTGGGTCCTTACAGTCAAAATATTTGAGACAATGTGCTGGTTTTATTATTTATGTGTATTGTTTTATACCTAACCCCAAATCATTATGCTTGCTGTTACTGAGGGAGCAGGGCAGAGGGAGTCTCCGATAGTAACACCAGCTGTAACCCCAGACTAGTTCCCAAGGTCCAGAGTCGGTCACTGCCCATCAGGTTCACTAAATGTTTAATTATTCATAAAGTTGAGAAGTTAAGAGAGATTACAACAGCCAATGGGAAGAGCACGACCTGGAATGTGAGCAAATTACACTGTGGCTGAAATAAGAGATCTCGGGGTGGGGGAATGGTTTTGTTTATTGATGCTCCCATCAGAATCATCGGAAACCTTTTCTGCTGAAACTACACAGGGATTCCTCGGAAAAGCCACTGAAAAGGGAGTTTGAAACTATGTCCCAATTGGATGGTGTGGGGAAAAGGGAAAGATGTTCTAGAAAATTCTCAGTCTAATGATAAGGACTACAGAACTGAAATATAAAGCAGTTAATTACCCACCGGGCTTTCAGATTGTGATAACTAACTGCTTCAGCCTGCTGCTTCACACAAGCTTTTTCAATCAGCACATCACAGCATCATCCATAAGGCTCTGACTGCCGCCAAGGCCCCTCGCGAGCCCTCCAGGTGCAGACCAAAGCCAGTTTAACCCGGTTCGGGTTGGTGCCGGTCCCAGGCCTGTTCGCGCCGCGTCCCGCCCCCGTTTCACTCTTCCCAATCCGCGCCGGGCTCGCGGCCCCCCCTCAGGTGCCCCTCGCGCCCAACCGCCACTCTCCCGCCGCGCGGCCGCCTGACGGGAGCGCTGTGCCCGCGGGCCGTAGGAGGAGCCCGGAGCCGGGCGCGGGAGGACGTTACCTCAGGTGAGGCTGGCGGCTGGGCCGGAGGGGCCGGGCTGAGCGGAGCTGAGCGGAGCGGAGGGAGGGAGGAGGCAGCAGCCGGCGCTGGAGGCACTACCTACCTCGGTAGGCTGCAGTGGAGGCCGGTAGAGCCGGTACAGCACCCGCAGCAGTAGCCGCCCCCTTTCTTTCGCGGGGGGCATCAGAGAAGGGAGGCTGTTGCGGAAGGTGCGGCGATCCCTTGTTGTAGAGCTCCCGCCTCGCATCCCATAGAATACCTTAATTTCACAAGCAATACATGACCTAGGCTACCTATCCCAGCACCCTGCCCAGCCGAATCTTGAAATTGTCCAGCGTTAGGGAATCCACAGCTTCCCTGGGGATATCATGTCAATGGCTTGTTGTTCTCATTGTGAAAAATTTACCTGTTGCTCCCAATTGCTATTCCTCATGAGCAAAGACTGCTCATCTGTGTGGACTGCTCCCTCTCCCTAGCCTGTGGCATCTCTTTCAGAAACATGGTAGTATTCTTTAACAGGATTGAGAACCCTGTTGGAGTGATTGTTAGATCCTGCCCTTAAATGAAACTTCTGAAAATGTTACTCTGGTAACTACTTATCTTTTAGATTTCTATTCACTCGCGTATTGGTGATGCTTGCAATTTCCATTTTGAAATAGAGGCAAGTTGATGGTTAGAGTTCATAAAATACTGTAGCAATAAAATATTTATATGAAGAAAGGATAGCTAAGTGCTTTTAATATTGCTTAAATTGTAGCCATGTCTTGAAATGCTGCCGTTTGCCAGTATTGTAGATTTGAGAAGGCCTGAAAAGCAAAATTGAAATAATTTACTCATTTATTTATTTAATTTTCCAAGACATTTATTAAGTTGCCACTGATTGATGTTGGTACTGGGCAGATGATGGCTCTGGCATCTAACATTGGAATCCTGGAGATTACCTGCTGCCATGGAAATGTTCTGTTTGAAAGTGTCCGTGACAAAGCCCTCCATGTCACAGGTTTGTACCAGATATAAGGTGATATGGCCTATATGTGCAAGAGACATCTATCAGGCCTTGAACAGCATTTGTTAGCTGTAACAGGGTATAGTCATTCTGATATTTCTTTTTTTCCCTATAAATTCTTTCTGCCCTCAGAACTTTGATTCAGAGTTATTCCTGCTCCATTTTGTTCCGCTAACCATGACATTCTCTTGCACGTGCTTCATGATGTATTTTCACCAAATTTCTCTTAAGCTTGACAGGACTTTGCAGCACATGAAGTTATATTTTTCAACTTCAGTTGCATGAGGGAGTAGGTGTTCCTTGAAATGCTGTGGCAGTATGCACAGCTTCATGGTCTGTAGGCAAATGGCTGAAGATATCCTTGACTTTTCTCAGTTCCTTGTCAGATTTAGAATAGTTTCCTGAAACTTTTTAGGTCTTCCAAAAAAGTGAACTTTTCATATGAAAAATAAGGCTTTGTAATACCTATGTGGGAGCAGTCTCTGGGAGTAGATAACACTGCAACACCACTTTGAGATGTGACTCATGGCAGGAGCTAGAATAAATCTTGCTGAGAAATATTAGCTAATTAAAGCACTTTATTGACTTGAAATATGGCAGTGCTGCTAAAAATTGATGAGATTTATTTTCCTCAGCCCCAGCCCCTTTCCTCTAGAAGGTTCATCAGTAGCTCAGAAAATGCAGGTGTACTCCCTGCTCTGCCAGGGGGCAGTGGCGTCACAGCCCTTGTGGGAGGTGAGCATGCAGGAGGAGCAGCCTGTGGTGTGGTATAAAGCAGCACGGTCCACTTGAGGCACTGGTGGAATTTCCCAAGTCACTACGGGAACTGGCATCTCCTTAGTTGTCCTTTTCCATGGCAGCAGTGTCAGGGGCTGCCTGCAGAGCTCATTGATTGCAACTTCTGTCTCCAGGAGCTGATGCGAAGAGAAGGTGTGGGATTTGTTTTCCCTCGTGTCAGGCTAGTGTGATTGAGTTCCATGTGTTTGCACCTCTTCACTCGAGAGCAGTTGTTTTAAGATGTTCTGCAAAGTGCAGGGAAATGAGAGCTATCAGATATTACGAAAGGGAAGAGGAAGACATATCAAAGGAAGATGGGAGGTTTGTTTATCTTGCCTTCTTCCCCTGTGAGCAAAAAAGGGAAATGGGCAATGTTTGGTTTTACTATGTGTATCTAAACTGGCTCTGTACTCTAACATGGGCTGACTCAGTACTTGAACTCCACATTTCATCTTTGGCTCTGTGTGCTGGTTCTGCAGTGAGTTGTACATTACAGATTCTGTCTCTGCTGCTGCCATCAGCAAAGCTTTGCAGGAGCCACTTTGACTAAATCTGCAAAGGACGCTTGCCACCTATAGCTTGCCTAATTTGTAGTTTTTGTTGTTGCCTGATGTGGTGTTGGGCTTTTTGAGGCTTTCTTTATTGGTAATTGCTAATGAGGAAGTTTATTGCTAAGACTCACCTCAGCCTGAGCTTCTTTCTCCAACCCCACTGCTGGGAGAAGAGCCAGGGCTTTGTACCTCCCAGGGATAGCCACAGCCTCCAGCTGTGTTTGTCACACCCAGTTAAGTAACCCAGCTTGTGGAGAAAGTACTCCTTTGCTGCTTGCACCCTCTACTCTTGCTCTGCAGCCCCACAGAGACCAGTCACCAGCGTGTGCTGCTTTTCCCCTCCATATCCTTGTTGCAGCTCCACTGCATGAGCTGGTAGCACAGGATGCTGGAAGATGAGCTCTCCTTTTTCTCTTCTGTGCCTCTCACTTTCCCCAGTCATCCTCAGAAGACTACTCCAAAAGCACCAGATGGCTTTTTCAGTGCATGGGCTGTTATCCAGCACAGCGCCTTTCAGTAAGGCAGTGAAATGCTGGTGGTTTAGGTTGTGCGAGCTCAGTAGATATTTTACTGAGCGGAGAGACTGAGAAGTAATATCTCGTCAGGAGGGATTGTCTCTGAGGCAGGCAGGCCAAGTGCCATGGGGCATTTCCAGGTGCAAAAGGTTTCCTGGAGTGAACTGAACCGAGGTTACCTACCTGTTTTTCCACAGTTTGGGGTGAATGCAAGAAGCAGCCTCTTGTTTCTAATTCCATGGTCTAAATGTTCCCTGAGTAAGAGGGTTCTTGCAGTTAGGCTTACATTTCAAGAGCAGTGCCAGTCTTGCTGGTGTTTTCTCTGCTCCAGGAATGTTCACGCTGATGGGGCTCCCCAGGGTCCAGAGAAATGCTCATTTTCTGGGTCCTGCTGGGGCTTGAGCAAACACAGAAGTAGTTTTATGTGTCTTAAGAATTACTTAATTAAACAGGCAGTTAATAATAGGTAAGATAGAAATGCTAGCTAGATTTGAGGCTTACCAACCTAAATTAGGAACCTCAAAACAGCTGTACTTTGTGATAGGAAAAACCAGCCCAGCCTCATGTCCTGTCTCTGACAATGGCTTCTACCTTATGACTGTGGAAGGACAGAATTGATATAGTGTGGGATTTCCAAGTGTATTTGTACAGTGTTTTTATGACTTGCATTTTTGGAAGTGTCTGAGGATGTGTTTTGCATTGTGTCACACCATCTCTACTTCCCCTTCTCTGGGTATCCATTTATTTCTTTCTGGGCTGTCATAATTTGAGTCCTCAGACAATGAGGATAATGAGGTATATGCAGGTTGGGCATGGAGTTCCTGAACTAACCTATGAATTTGTCATTATGGTGGAGGCTGGTAACCAGAATGTTGATGGCTTGTCAACCAACTGTAGCTGTTTTGGTTGTTGGTTTTGTTTGTTGGGGTTTTTTTGTTTTGTTTTGTGGGGTTTTTTTGCATTTTATTGATACCTTCC